GAGCATATATGACTTATGCCTCTGTGCTGGAGCAGATTCTGCCTACTCAACAGTAACTCGCTAAATTAGCAGTCGGTGTCTCAGGGAGGAGGGAAAAAGAACCGCCGGTTGGGTTGTGGTGCGTTAAAGATGTCCAGCCGTGTCAGACGAGTGGGGGGGGGGGGGGGGGGGGGGGGGGGCGTTGGGCGTTCGTCAGTGTAACTCGCTTGGGAGCCTTCCTCCTTCACACGCCGAGGTCCACACCTCCAGCTTGATTAACAACCTGCCCACCATTATCACGGATCGAGGGTGTCAGCTGAATTAGCCTCTCCCCTCACCCATTCAGCACAAAGCACTTAGTTAACATGCAGAGGACCGGGAACAGAGGCGTGCAGCGTCTTCACGGATCCACAAAAAGGATGTTTGGTCTGATAGAAGCAAACTGGTTCACCATTCAAATACATTTTAGAGCAGTCCTTCCCAAAGACCGGGTCGTGAACCACAGGTGGGACCCAGGAGATTTCATTAGGGTCGCCAAATAGATTTGCAATAGTCTGTTATTTAGGTACAGCGTGTCGCATTAAGAGGCATCTATTGGAATAAATGGAATATAATATTAATACGTACGTTTTCTTTAGTTCTTAATGACACTGTGTCCTAACTGGACACGAGGTTTAGCGACAAAATCTGTTTGGTTGCTGTTGAAGACCAGAGTGGTGGTTTATCCGCTTCCGGCCCTCCTCCCTCGGTCTAAGACCAGCACATATAACCTGACCTGGGACACTACCAGGACCGGGAACATCCTACTTTAGTCCAATTGTTTGGCCAAATAGATTTGCTCTCTTTTATTTAGTGTTTAGCATCTAGAGCAATCCATTGGAAATAATGGAATATAATATTAATATGTATGTTTTCTTTAGCGTATAATCACCTGACAATATGAACAGGTGTGTTTTCGTCCTAACTGGACACAAATCTGTTGGATCCACGTCGGACACAAAGAGGTGTTTTGTGATAGAAGCAAACTGGTTCTCACACAAAAGATTCACAGTTGTCAAATCTTTTTAGAGCTTTAATTTCCAAAAAAACACCACAAGCCATGTGATTGTGTTGCCTTTTTAAGGGGGACCTTTTGTTGGAACCCCTGGTTTCTATATGTTTCACGTCTCTGGCTCTGAAAGCGCCGTAATGGACGAGGAACTGCTGACGAGTTCAGTTGAAAATGAGGAGTTCTGTTTACGATAGTCTTTACGATCTAGCTCGGACAGACTGCCAGTCGCTGCTCCGGGTCAAAAGATCGAAACTTTTATTCATAAGCTGTTGCAGCTTTGCCGGTATGAACAGTGTAGATGTGAAATATTGTCCCGCCCGGTGTGTAAAGACTACCTGGTTATAAAAACAGTGATGATGGCATGATTGAATAAACAAATAGAAAAAGAGGGAAAAGATAAGTGGAGACATCAACAAGTTGAGTGTCAAAGTTGATCCTGTTTTTTAAAAGTTCCATGAACTGTATTTTAAATATTTATTGTTGGGTAAATAACAAAAATAAACAAAAAAGGTGCAAAAGGGAGTCGGTGTGGAATATTGAGCCTCCACTGCATAGTAATGGACACACGGTCCGGCTGTTCATCTGTTCTGAACCACGGGAGAGTTCGGTGGCCCAAGGCGCTGCCTCGGGCGAAATCCAAAGCAAAGCAAAAGAGCTCTCTTGTTATTATTCCGCAGCACCGGGTTTCTCATGCCGGCCTCCCCTGAACGCCACCGCACACACTCACAGCTGCTGGCCCCTCTCTCACACACGCGCACACACACACACACACACACACACACAAAATATACCAGCCCGCATATTCCTTTCTCTCCTCTTTTCTCTGTTAGATTTTTAGCCGTTCCATATCCTGACTTCTCATTAAACCCGCGGTAATTGGATCGGGCGTAATGGACATATGGAAATTGCGGTGCCGTTCATCATTAGGGTTTTTTAATTGCGCCCGTTTTTTGGCGTCCGCGTTTTTTTCCTCCCTCTAAATAAGTCATAGGAGGTTCACGACGCCTCGTTACCACCGGTCAGGTTGCTTCATCCACAGCGCGCGCTGACGGCTGTGATAATGAGAGGAGTTCCTCCCGTCTGAGTCTGAACCCCGGTGTGTTTCTTTACCGAGCGCCGCCGCTTCTTAATCATCTTTCAACTGGATTCACTCGTGAAATAATACAATTTAGCTCTTATTCTGTTGCAGGAAGTCATATATGTTTTGTAGAACACCCACGGATGTATGAGCTTTGAGAAATGACTGATATTGGGAAGAAAAGTAAATGTAACACATGATGATACATAAGCCGATGTTCCTTATTTACTTAAACACTTGCCGTTTTCAGGCCTCAGTTGGGGAACAATCCTCTCCCCTCCCAGTGGAAACGGCAAAATTGGCACTCCGAAAGAAATATTTCTTTCTCATATTTGTTGCATTTACTTACAAGCGCACAGGCATCTGTTAAAGAAACGATGCCGAAGCAAATTTAGTTGTTTGACAGAAACGAACGAATGTGCAAATCGATATAACTGACAAAGAACTAAATGAACAAAAAGGAAAAAAGTCTTAGGATGCGAAGTATCTTAATTACTCACAATGACAATAAGGTTACTAAAAATGGCAACCAAAAGCTGATGTCTGGTTGAGAACTTGGTGTCTGTCTCTGGTATTTGTAGCTAGTTTCTTTTTTTCTTTACTGTAGTAATTATCTCTCATATTTAAGTTATTAAAGAGTATATATATATCTACTGAAAGACTGTCTGTGCTCCTCACAAATTATTCTTTCTGTGTCGATGTAAGCAAAAGAAAAAGAACCATGCGTTTGATTTGTTTTTGTCCAGAGAAAAAGAAAAGTGTAAAAATGTACGTCCCTTGATTTCGCAAAATTGCCGTCAAAAACACGTAAAAAGTTAGCATAGAATAAACATTTCTGTTATTTCTACGCCTGCTGGTATAAACAGCTAATGTTAACGGTTTTCTCCTCCACTGTCCCGTTAGTTCACTTTGTCAGCATCACATGTAGTTAACTTAACACATTCTTCTTCTCTGCAGGTCTATGGACGTTCTCATCAGCCTGAACCACGGCAAGTCCTTCATCTCCAGCGCCTTCACCATCACCGCCTCCACGTGTGTGAGTCTGAGTTCCCTTAATATCTGAAACCAGATGCTGAGTTCTGATCTTTCCTGTTATTCACCTGTACGTGTTATATAACCGCTATCACAGCTACCTTTTCATAATCTGTCACCTCCTTAATCTGTTGCTCATATTGTGGTTTGAGTTTGTGACGGTTACTGTTCTTTATGAGCAGAACTGCTTCATCCTGTCCTCCATGTTTATCAAGACGTCAGAGTTTCTTACTTTGTTTTTGTATCGTCATAATTTTTTTGGTACGTAGTTCCACTGAACCAGTCATGTAAAACCAAACGATTGATTGTGGGGGTTAGTTCTTTTCATAAAAGCTTGTACAGGTCCGTCTTCATCTGCATTTTGTTTACTGGCCAGCAGCAGAAACGAGTGACTCATTTAACCATTTAGTCGTTGGATATAACACCACAAAGTTCATCTTCAGGATGAACTAAACCGCTGACTTGTACTTCCTCCTTGCAGTCGGACGGTCTGGTGGTGGCCATCGTCTTCCTGGTGCTGCTGCTCCTCGTGGCTCTGGCCCTCATGTGGTGGTTCTGGCCTCTTTGCTGCACACTGGTGAGTGTCGCAACTCTGCTCATTACACATTCAGCCAGAGCTGGTGATTCAACAACTCATACGTTGGCCTCCAAAAGAAAAATAGAAATACTCACTGCTACCTTCTCTAGCTATGATGAGGACCAACATCCTTTTGCTGCAAACGCAGCTCGACATAAGAAATCATTTCAACTGAAAACTGCTTTATGAAATGGAACTGTAGTTGGTGAAGCGTTTGACGGTTATGCCCACCGAGAAAGCCCAAAGCTGCACCCATAAACCAGTGATACTACAGAGGGCTCGGCGCTGTACAGCTGAGGGGAAGTGGTGTTGAACCTCGCTCATCCACGGTGGCTTAGCAACAACCACAGAGGAAGAAACCACTCAAAACAGGAAGTGAGGGAACCCACATCCTGCACATTCAGTGTGACAAGTTCTGAGAAGAGATGAAGTCACAGACTGAGTTTAAAATCGATGGGAGAGGAATGTGACAGAGTGACAGATTACGTTAAACAGCGTCTGATGTTTGCTCAGACTAACGGTGGACCTACCTGGGGACCGAAGTGATTCATAATAATCACAGAGATTATTTACGGTTTAATCACATCTGAGTCTTTCATGACGCTCCAGCTTAAAATACTGACTCTGTTTTGGTAAACACAGAATTCTTTTCTTTACTAATCCAGAGTGTTTCATTTGTTTTTGTTCCTTGTGTTCTGTTTCTATTGTTATTGTTTTTCTTTGGCGATTACAAACTTCCTCTGTTCATCAAGGATGGAGGCAGTGTCTAACATCTGGAGAGGAAACAGCAGAATGTGTGTTTTGTTTCGCCAAATCAGGGTCGAACAAAAGTAGAGCGGACAAAATGTTTCAGCAAAGCTCTTATTGACGTTTCAGTCCTTTTGAAAGAGCTCTGGCACCAAATATATATTCCAACTGTAAACGAACACAGTACAAAGCTCTTTCTACTACAATAAGTACATATATTGCCAGATAAATATTGTAATTATTATGTTGGTTTAAACTACACCAACCAGACAAAGTGATAAAAATGATGAATAAACGTAGTTAAATCTCTTTAACTTAAGTATTCCTGACCACAAATGCACCGATCTAAGTCTAAATAACATCCTCGTGTTTTACTCAAAGTGAGCCGATCTGCATCACCGCTCCAGGACTGTGTGGCTTTGATCACATTTGATTCTTGGTGCCGGAAACATAAGCAAACAACCAACCGACCGTCATAACATTTACAGAACAGAATCAAACCCAGATTGCTGCACGCAGGAACACGACATCGTGTTGTTCCTGCTAACTTCAAACGCAGTGAGAGAAGCACAGAGCAAAACATCTCTCGTGTCAACTGTTTCTAACTTCGGCAGTTTTCATAAGAATCTGATTGAGAAAAGGCCCTCAAGGTTTAAAAAGACAGTGAAAGCATCTCCTCATACAGCTCATTGACCTCATTCTGTGTGCATGCTGTGTACTGTTTCTGGTCCCGGTGCTGTTTGGTGGATTGAATCCTACCTCAGCAGTACCGATGGGTACCGAACACCATTCTTAAGGCCTTCGCACACCAATTCTGTATATTTTTTAAATCCATTATCCGATAAAAATCGTGAGACTGAAACCTGCACACTGACTTCAAAGAGTTTTATTACTCTGTTCGTTGCAATACAAGACGAACTGTATAGCACGAGTCCCAAACGGGGCTAATGACTGATCGAGATTAGCAGAGGCTATCGTTTAGCTGCAGAGAACACGATCACTACTGTCGAAGTCTTTCGTTCATCTGTTGTTTTGCGATCATCCCAGAGTCTAAGCCGCTGATCTTTAAATTGCAACATTTTCAGTTTGCATTCTTTCTTTTCTTTATTCTTAGCATCCCGCTAACGATGCACTAGTTGGTGTCATGTGACCACGTCACGGTTCAGGCTGGTCTCATCCAGCATTCGTAGCGATACCTACGAAAAGCAATGCGTCTTTTATTATTTCATAGATATCCCAACAAAATTATTTTATATGTTAGCAATGTTTGCGATCTTTGACCCAGGAGGCCGCTGTCCGTTCCCCGCGTGAAACGAGAAGTCAACTTAGATTTATTTGTCATGTAACTTGCGTAATGTAGTCGCGGTTATTTTAACCAAAACAACACAATCTTCTCCTGTTTCCTGTGACGACGGAAGTTTATTTTGAGAAGACTGTATGCGTGTAACGAGCGGAAACGGAAACTGGACTTTCGTAGGAAAAATGAGGAGTAACTTCTAATAAGATATCATACGAACCGTTGCATGAGTATACGTTACATAGTTTATATTCTATTACCAGTGGTTCCATTGGTAATAGACTCTGCAGAGACTCTGCAGAGTAGAATGAATACATTAACCGGTGTTGATGAAATCTTAGAGATGCCCGTCTCTGCTCATGACAGATCTAACGGTTGTTAATATTGAGTACAAAGTACACGATATTGACTCAAGTTCAGAGCTGTGGTGATGAAAGAGAATTTCATTAGTCAGTACAGATGTGTTTGTCTGAGTGTGGAGGTTAGAAGGTTATTCACTCATTCCACAGATCGCCACATGAACAGGTGTGAAACTAGCGAACCTTGAACCTGCTCTCAAACTCTGAGTTCTCCTTCATTGCATCGCCTTTCAACAACTCGTTGGAAGGCATTTTCTTTCTTGAATCCGTTGTTTAAAGTTTTTTTTTCTTTGGATATTCATGAGAACCGCTCTCATCATCCCCAGCCTCACCCACTTAACCGTTTACACAAATCCACCGCAGATTACCGTTTGCGGCTGTGAGCGAGGGGCTACAGATGGTGCACCCTGGTCTGTTTCTGTGCCTCTTTTTTTTTTTTTTTTCTTTTTTTTTTTTTTATCCACTGGGATCTGATCAAGGCAAACTCCCCACCCCCCCATCCGCCACCGCCGCCCCTTAAATGATAGACGTCACCTGGCTTTGTGGACCTGAAGGGAGCCCTTCCAGGATGAGATGGAAGCATATTTTGGAAAACCAACAAAGGCATTAAAATGTAAACCCCCTGCAGCATGTCTGGCCGCGGACGTGTTTGTCTTGGTGGAGGGAGCTGCTGTTGTCTTCCATCGAGGGACGCGGCAGAAGAGGAGGGCCATGTGTGGCTTGTTAATATTTAAACCCCCAGTCTGCCAGGTTTCTGCAGTCGGGATGAGGCCGCACACACACACACACACACACACACACACATGCCCAACCTCTTTCCCACAATCCCTCTCTCTCGCTGTCTCTCTCTCTCTCTCCCCACATGGAGCGAAGCCAAGAGAGAGGTCACACAAGCTGTGGAGTGGTAATTTCTTTGTTTATGATTTGTTTTAGGAAATTAAACTCGGAACGACGTCGCCTCGATTCAGGAGGTTTTTTGAGTCGTTCATCCAAATCGCAAAAAAAACACAATCGCTGCTAAATTGGATGCACTTTGGGACGCATTATAAACTCAGTTGGTGCTTAATATGTTGATAATCTCTGATTGCTTCGTGTTATTTCATGTTTGAGGTTGTTAGCGTTGCTCTCCGACGCAGAACCTTTCATCTTTTTTTGTTTCTGTTTCTGTCAGAATCGTATTTATAAGATAAGATAGAACTTTATTGATCCTGAAGGAAATTTGGTCAAAGATTACGACAGAACAATAATGAAAAACAATAGAATACAAACTTATATGAACAATAGAATAACAATTATTAGGTGTAAAACCAGCAATGCTGACACTATTGCACAATAAAACAGAATAGCAACACGAGTAAATAAATAAAGTAAAACATTTAAATTAAAAAGAAAAAGTTGATTACAACAACGAAGAAAATACAAGAGTACAAATATAAAGTGTATAAGAACACCAGTGCCTAATAGAATCTAAAATGTTATGATTTTCTACAACAGATAAATTTGTCCTTCTACTTTTTAATTTTCTAAATATGCTACCTGCCACTGATCCGTCCCGATAATCCTCCTGAAACAGCTTGATGCGCTGGAGGTTGGGAGCGAACGGATTATCAAGTCCAGTTATTCTGAGACGGCCATATGGGGACGACGTCCACGAGCGCCTCTGATTGGTCCGATTCCCCCCTCTGTGACAGCGGTGGCGAGCCTCTGGTGTCAGACGGCTAAGTATCCCGCGGTTCAGTTTTTAACTTGGCCCGCCCCTCCTCACATCTGTCCATCAGGTAGCCGCAGAAAGAGCAGCACAGCCCCGTCAGTCATTTGTATAATGCTTCATTTATCCCACAATATGTCCCGGAAATCTGCTGCATAATTACTTAATAAAAAGAGCTCATCCCGTCAGCGTGAGGTGTGGCTGAAACCACCTTAATCAGCGTATGGAGAGGCGACCAGTAGACCTTCGCTGGATTTGCTTACAGCCAGTTGTGTGTCAGAGAGCGATTAATTAACCCTAATTGATTATTTTTCATTATTCTAATGACAACAGTGTGATGGTATCGCCGGCGCTTTAACAGTGAGTGAAACAGCTGTTAGGATCTATGATATGCCGTTATTACAGCGCTCCTTTCTATCCTCCAAAACCAATTTAGCAAATGCAACGAGCGGAGACGACGCTGGAGCGTCTGTCTTTGGTGACTAATGGACGAAGGTTCTGCCTTCAAGTTGAAAAATAAATGTCCTCACTGTAATTCTACTGCGTGCAGCATATATTTATATTAATAGGCCGGCTAGTGTGAACTGTGGAAACTCCTTCTTTCTTCGGTTTCTACTGTGCCACTGTCCAAAAACAGTTCACAACACAAAGATATTTAGTTTAAAACGTTACCAAAAAGTAAAAGAAAAGGAGCAAAACCTCATACTCGTGGAGTTGGAACCAGATAATAAATTATTAAATTATTACATAATGAACTTTATTAATGTAGCCGCTTTCATACTTGCAGCTCAAAGTGCTTCACAACAGAAACAAATCAATAACTGTTATTAAAAACAGAACACAGGGCGTTAAAACATAAAAGAACTATGTAATAATTATATATAACTTATTACTTGTATAATATAAGTAATATTTGCAAGTTGATGATAATAGAAACAATTTTTGGGGTATATAAACTGGAGAGATATACAAAAATACAGACACTTTTTTTGTTGTTGATTACTTGATCATCAGCATTGTTTTATATCATTGACTTGACTAATAATTCCAGCATGGGGCGCCCCTCTGTGCACATGTGGTCACTTAAAACCCCCAGTTATCAGAACCCATAGTCGGGACCTCTGCTCTCTGTAAGTGACCTGAAAACACCACAGAAGAAGAGACTACATCTTTATTTATTTCGTTTGTCCTCCCATCGCGATCCCTCTCACAGACGGTGTGTTCAGCAATCCCGGCCCAGTAAAAAAAATAAAAAGATAAAGTTGGACATCAGTATGTGAAGCATCTGACTGACACCTGACAAGTGTCGCCGTCGGGCCGCTCTTTGCTTGGCGGTGCACATCTGTAAGAACCCGGTGGAGGCATCTTGTCCTTGAGTGGAATCACATTGTGGACAACCTGCTCCTCAGGTGCCGTGTCATCCGCCGGCGTCACGAACAATGCCGCTGGGCCGGTCACTCTGCTGAAGAGGTGTGCACTTATGTATTTTCCTTTTTCTTTACCCTCCTGTGTGTTTTCACTCATCTCTCCAT